TGTGTGTGTGTGTGTGTGTGTATGTGTGTGTGTGTGTGTGAGAGTGTGTGTTTGTGTGCGCTTGTATGTGTATATGTGTGTTTTCCTTCATACATTCTCTTTTAAACAGAACTTACCGGTGAGTAAGAAGGAAAAAAGCCCACGTCCTTGCTTTGAGTTTCCACAAATTTGGCCCACCGGTATTTGCAACCTGTGACGTAACGAGGCAGCTCCATATCCTCCTCTGTTTCTTCCTCTGTCTTTACAATATCCACTTCTAAATCAGAAAACGAATCTTTTACACTTCCTTCAGAAGTGTCTTCAACTTTGTTCTCTAAATGTGGAGAGCACACCTTTTCCTCTTCTCCTCCTTCGTTATCACCTTCATCCTCCTCACCTGTAGTAGCAAGAGGGCTTGGGACAACAACACCGCTGTGTTCCTCGCTATGTTCCTCGTTGTCTACCACAATTTCATCTTCATCTTTTGAGGAAAAAGAATGTTCTCCGACAGTCACTGTTGTCGTAACTTCCTCAGACTCGACGTCCTTTTCATGCAGCTCGTGTTCTGGGTTTTCCCCGACCGTCCCCTCTTGAACTGACGTGAGGAGATGTTCAAGAGGTTTTGGGTGATCAGTTTGGTCCTTTATCTCCAGACACTCCCCATGCTGCTCAGCTTTCTCTGCAGGGGGATCAACTGGTGCTGTTGAAAATGGAACAGGCATTTTTTTTCGAAGTCATGAAACTATTTCGATAAAACTTACAAGTTTATCCGAGGCACGCTTAAGTTAAACAAAATCGACAGCAACAAATAAAAAGCAGCAACAACACAAACAAACAAACCCAGCAACACTGTATATTTATCAACGAAACAATAACCTGAAAACTATAGTCACCATACTGAAAACATACTAAAATGTGTTAAAATAATCCCCACTGACTACTACTGTTACTGCATTGATAGTATCGACATTACACATTGAATACTCGTTAAAACATTTTAAACACATATATACATGTTATTATATAGCCACCTGAACACGGATGTGCTCCATGTTCGTCATTTGCTTTATCTTCAAAACCCAATCTCAACACCCGAACCCGGTAACAGCACACCCTTCTACCTCGTCCCCCCCACCCCCTGCGCCTTCAAGGGTCTGGTACGGTCTGGAATATCTGTACAATACATAGCATTTTAAGGTGTTCTATAATTATGGAACTGTATTCGAGATATTCAGTCGTAAGTCCATATCTGAACTAAAAATCTTACGTTTTTGTGTATAATGAACAAGCTGTAGACTTCACTCCACTCCACACAAATAACAACCAAAACAACGTGAGAATAAGTGTAATACTGAAACCGACTATTCATGTTTTTCCTTCTAATTCTCTAAAATGGAGCTCTTCGTGTGATTTTCTCTATGATTAGAAAGCAGATATTGTGTTTCGGAGTCCACTTTATGTCCCCAGAAGTTGAAATTGTTGAAAACACAAGACGCTAGTTAAATCTTTCAAATAATTATTTCGTGCACGATGAATGAACGACGGAATGAAAATGCCTTGAAACTTTAAACCGTGCCCGCTAGGCTAAAGGCGATAAAATCCACAGGCCCAGTGCTCGTAAACTGCTGTAATCCTGATTGGGAAAACACAGGGTCTTGTAAACACAGACCCAGTCTAAAAACAACCCATTAAAAGAACAAACTATGCATCACAAAATATTTTATTATGTACTTAGACATTCAAAGAGTGAGAATAATTTAAGCAGCACCTTGGCTGTTCCTTCGTAAACACACAAACAGCAATGCAAGGCATGGCTTCTAATCACATACGATATCGAGCCAAAATGACGTCATGACCCTTCCAGGAGAAAAGGGTGCCAAACCGAAGGTAAACTAAACGGAGCAGGTCAAAGCACATTTCTTGGCACGTAACGTATGCCTATCGTGTGATTCTCATGAAATTGAACGCTATTTAGATCTATATATGATTGTTAGCTGTCAAATTAAGAATTCGAACTGATATTAAAGAAATTATGAGGTATCCTGGTGAAATCAGGCGCCCCTCAAAATGTAATAAAACCAAAGGAACAGGCATTTTTCCTCTCCTTGGGCAATCTTAAAATTAATTTTCCTTTTTTTTTTTGGATCGACGTCTTTTATGTCCATCAAAACACATTAAATTTATGAGTGGATTTTATTTAAACACGTTCGAAAAGAACACACAAACGTGCTGTTTCCGGGGACACCCAACCTTTGATAATCACCAATTTTTTTGCTTCTGGCACCAGGCGACTCCTACCTCCTTCGATGGTCAATATGTCGACTTCTATCCAAGATAGGTGGGTACTTTTTTCATCAAAGGAAAGGCAAATGGATAAGCTTTAAGGTGATACCATGAATTTCATATCTATGCCCCAAAAATTGACGAGCACCTGATTCCACCGCGTCGTGATACAATTTGTAATGTACTCTATTGAGAGATCGGTATTAAGGCGCTATTGGTGTAATGAACGTGTGTGTGTGTGTGTGTGTGTGTGTGTGTTTGTGTGTGTGTGTGTGTGTGTGTGTGTGTGTGTGTGTGAGTGAGTTTGTGTATGTGTGCGT